CGTCGACTGCGAGGTTGGCTGTATGGGGGCGCGAGAGGTAGATTGAGATTTGACATGGGGCGGGCGGGAGCGTGCGCTGTCACAGAGTCTTGGAGGTCTGTGGGCTCACTCGCTCCGCGCGCGCTTTGTATCTAGGTGGAGGAGAGGGGGAGGGGAGGGCTTCTCCCCATCGGGGCCTCCTGGATGAGAAGTGAACGGGGCAGATGACGGGAAGCTTCGGGAGAGAGGAGGAGCGCGATTCCGGCAAAGGACAGAGGACCGGGCCCCAGAGAGTCTGGGCGGAAGTAATGCATGTGCGCAAACGACTGAGACGGCAATAATTCAGACCCATCCAGCACGAGTGACTGAGTGACCGCTATCAAGCTAAAGAATTCTATACCATAGATTGAGCAGCCCGACGCCACACGAGTCCCAACTTTTTGTTTCTTTCTCTTCGCCTCCCAGACCACAAGCCCTGCGGGCCTTTTGTCTCCCATCCCTCAGCCATCCCGCCTTCTCCAACCCCTCCGCCGTCACTCCATCCCATTGCCCCCCCCGGCCTCTCCCCCTTTCCTCCTAGTGCCCGTGCCCGTGCTCCGCCAGGGCCTTGTCCACGATCGCCTTCTTGTGCGCCACGTGGTGCTGTCCCAGGGCGTACCACTCGACGGCATAGCCCACGCACCCGGTCAGCACCATCAGGTGTGCGAGCGGCTTGATGCTGCCAGGGCGGATGTATTTCCAGTAGTAGTACTTGGCGAACCCCTCGAACTGCTGCTTGTAGTAGGACTGGGATGGAAAGGAAGAATACCGAGTCAGTGCTAGAAGGCCTCCACATGGCCTCGGAGGGGCAAGAGGACATCGCACGCGCCCCGAACAGATGCGCCGCGACAAGCCTCGAGAAGAATTCCAGGAAAATGAAGAAAAAAGAAAGCTGGGTACAGGAGGCGGGTCCCTCGATTCGGTTCCCGCGCAACATGCCGAGACGGAGAGTAACGAGCAAGGAGGACGGTCTGCCCGGCGGCTACCGGGGGCTCCCCTTAGTGGAATTACTTCTGACGTTCAGATGCGTTGCACGGGCCAGGAATTTAACTTCTACTTTATGACACACATTTCTGAGAGTACGAAGGGAGGGCATCCTCGCCATGCCTGACGAGTCCCGTAATACAGAGCAAGCATCCTAGTCCCTCCCCTCAAAAGGTCGACAACTAAATGTCTGTCACCACATGCATAGAACTCACCGGTTTCGTCAGGTTGGAGGCGGCAAAGCTCGCCGCGGCTTTGACAGACTCCATGGTGTCCTATGGGGGAATGCGGCATGGGAGGGGGGGCGTGAGGCGCGGAGTCCGTAGGGCATGACGGAGATGCTTTGGGTGCGAGAGGACTGAGGGCTCGGCGTAAGAGCTGCTGGTTTCCAACCATAGTCTTGTTTACGATGGCATCTGCCCCGACCATCCCGTCGTCCTCGTCCTCCCACGATCAGTGCATGCCTCGGTTCGCGGAGGAAACAGGAAGCGGGGCGGGCAAGTTCTCGAGTGCTCGCGGCGTCGGCGTTTGGCTCTCTTGAAATGCAGCAAAGATGTTTCTCCCCCGGCACTCGCTGCCTTCCTCCCCACGCCTCGCGAGCCGGAACACTTCTTCGCGGGGCTCACGTGCGTTTTTTCCTTGCCAACACGGTTGAAACAGAGGACTGCAACTGGATTGCAACACGGAGGTACTATCGGGGCGGGGGGGAAATTGCGAAACTGGAAGTAAAAGGTAGTCTTTGCAGACAGCATCAGGCCTCGGTACCTCTCCATGCTCCTTGCCCTCCTGACTCTGCCTGTCCAGCTTGCCTTCATGCTAAACAGCCCCACTATCATCCACGTCTTTGGTCTAAACACCTGCGTGAATTTGGTATCTGGTTTGTGCTTTTTGCCAGGCCCCTTGAGCAGAGGCTGTAGCTCAAAAGCTCTCATGACCTCACGGCATTCCTCATCTCGTTTTCGGGAGTCTTTTGGTGAATTTTCATCCACTGTACGTACACAAAAATGGAAAAGCAGTAGATCAATTAGCACCAGGACTTCCACAAGCGTTTTCTCGGTAAGTTATGGACATGGGGGGGGCTCGCGGGCTTGGTCGAGGGGCACCACCTCAGGCGCCTAGCACCGTCAGGACAGCACTCAGTGATGCGACCGGCAAAGCTTGCCGCGTCGGTAAGATGTTTGTCATGAGTGCGCACGTGCTGATATTGGGCCTCGCAAACTTGCACAGAGTTCCGGCGCCGCCTCCCTCCACATGTCTCCCTCGGAGCCGGAGGGGGCCCGTGACCCGTTGAAGAAGCGGGGAAGGCCGGCCAAGGGCCCAAAGCCGTCGGCTCAAGACGCCGCGATGGTCGCGGGGGCAGAGTCAAGTGCGCGTCGAGTGCCTCTCCATGGGGATCAAACGAGGAAAGAGGTGGCTTCGGTGGGAAGAGGCAGGGAGCCACGCTCACGAAAGGCAGCTGCGAGCCCGGAGGCGATGAATGGCACCGATCCCTCCTCTTCCACCCTCTCCCCTCCTAAAAAAGCGCGGAAAGGACGCTCGAGAAAAGGGGACGATGCCGTCTCGCAAGGCACGGCTGTATCGACGGAAAGATTGAAGGACGCGGCCGCTCCTACTTCCGCCGGCAGCTCCGCCGTCCCCAAGAGCAAACGCCCCCCCCTTCAACGGGCAACCATCCCCCGAGGCCTCACTCCGCGACTAGAGGACGGCCCGCCCGTCTCCTTCTCCTCCTCCTCCTCCTCCTCC